TGCGCGAATTTCGTGTACGTGGGTGGACAATTTTTTTTTCTTGCAGCTGCAAGTGTATGTGTTGTGTTTCTACTTGTCGAATTTCTGCACGGATGAAAACGAAAACGAATTGAATTGAATGAAGAAAGAAGAAAAAGGTGACGACGAAAGAAGTGAGAAACCGAAACGGGTTACGCAATTGCGCGTGTGTGCGACTTTTGTCGCCGTTGCACATTTTTTCGCTCCTTTTGCCCAATCATCGGTGACCGATTCGGTTTTCGATTGGCGCAACGCCTATGGAAATCGTCGATTGTTTGTCAATTTTTGCAGAAGATCGACACAAAACAATTGTGTTTCCATAGTAATATTGTTTGAACGACATGAAACGTCATTTTGTTTTTCTATTTTTATGAAAGATCCAAAAACGAAGAAGGCGAAAAAAAAGACAAACGTTTCTATTGTAAATTCATTGAATATACAATATTGTTGTAAAGAAATATGGAAATCGACGATTATTTTTCAATTTGTGTAGAAGATCGAAGAAGAAAAAAACAAGTTGCAAATGAAATAATTGAGTTTCTATAGTAATTTTATTGGATTACATAAAACGTCATACCGAAACGTGGAAAACGAGGATTGTTTATCAATTCTTGCAGATAAATGAACAAAAGACTTTGAAATAATTGCGTTTCTATAGTAATTTTATTGTAATACCAAATTATAAAAACCAAATTTAATTGTAGAACAGATTTAAGAAGGTAACAAAAACAAGAGAAAGATGATCAAATTATTGCGTTTCTATAGTAAATTTTGTTGGAAATCATGAAAACGTCGATTATTTATTATTATTTTTATTAGAAGATCGAAGAAGGTGGAAGAATTAAATAGAAATAAACAAAAGACATTCAAATAATTGCGTTTCTATAGTAATTTTATTGGAAGCCATGAATCGTCATATGAAAACAAGAAAATCACCGTTTATTGTAGATGATCGAAGAAGGTAACAAAAACAAGCGAAATACATCTAAATAATTGTGTTTCCATAGCAATATTGATTGAATTACATCAAACGTCATTATTTTCTTTTGTTTTTCTATTTTTATGAAAGATCTAAAAACGAAGAAGGCGAAAAAAAAAGACAAACGATGGACGAAATCATTGCGTTTCTATTGTAATTTCATTGAATATACAATATTATTAAAGAAATATGGAAATCGACGATTATTTTTCAATTTTTGTAGAAGATAGAAGATGAAGGAAAATTGTAGAACAGATTTAAGAAGATCACAAAAACAAGCGAAAGACGATCAAGTTATTGTGTTTCTATAGTAATTTTTATTGTAAATCATGAAAACGTCGATTATTTATTATTATTTTTAATAGAAGATCGAAGAAGGTGGAAGAATAGAAATAAACAAAAGACATTCAAATAATTGCGTTTCTATAGAAATTTAATTGGAAGCCATGAATCGTCAAATGAAAACAAAAAAATCGACGTTTATTATAGAAGATCAAAGAAGGTAACAAAAACAAGCGAAAGACAACTAAATTATTGCGTTTCTATAGTAATTTTATTGTAAACATAAACATTATCGATTATTTATTATTTTTTGTTGTAGAAGATCGAAGATGGTTAACAAAAAAAATAAATAAGCGAAAGACGACGAAATAATTGCGTTTCTATGGTAATTTTATTGGGCGCCATAAAACGTCGGTCCCGAATAGTCCGAATACAAATCGCCGGTTTATGCGTGCGTCTCCAATTATCATTTACATCGAAAACTAATTGCGAGCGATCGTTATTATGAAAATTTAACGCTGAGTAAGGATGGACGGACACTTCACCTCACGTACACTTACTTACTCCTCGCATCGGATTCCTCAGACATTGACACATTTCTTGTACACGTCTTACTTACTGAGGTCGTGTCATTGTCTACAGAAGGATACACATGCAAACAGATTTAAAAAGATGCAGTTGTTCCACGAGAATCCGTACTTGGTATGATTTATATATTTCTTTAATTATTTACAAAATTTGTACGTATTTTGATATAAAAATAATATAGATATAAATAAAATGTTCCACAAGGATCCATACTAGGTCTGATACATAAAAAAATTGATCATTTTCTTTTAATTTAGAAAATTTTAAATTGAAAATCAATGTAATTTTGATGGTTTTTTTTTTTATAAATTTACAAATCTATTTGTAATTTACTACAAATAAACATAACCCTTTGGTATTGTTTAATTTAATTTTAAGTAAACGTTGTTTCCTGAAGTCAAATTTTCAATTGAACTTTTTGTTTTAATTCCTTTGATTCAGATGAAAGTGATTTTTGTGTGTTTTGGGATGGTTTTAATTAACTTTTAATTTGCTTTGATTGCGGATGTATCAATGAGAAAAGTGCCATCTGTTTTCGTAAAGAAAAATCACGTGTTTTACAATAAAATTTAAAAGAATATAAAGTCATACTTTTTTTTTCGTATCTTCAACAATTCGTCCATGAACATAACAATGTCTCCTGCACGTCCTTCTACAAACAGATTTAATTGCCCCGATCGAAACAGATAAAAGCATAAAGGAAACATACGTGAAATGAATGAATAAATGAATCATTCATAATCATCAACAATTTCTGTGCATAATTTGCATTGTTAAAGCTTGATTTACAAACAACATTGATTCTTTTAAAAGAAAATATATTTGATACTTAAATTGAATATGATGGATTGAGGTGTACTGCGAGGTAATGTACTGGGTCCTTTTTTTTTTTTGTATTTTTACAGCAATTTTCAGTAAATTTACAATATTTGTTAACTATTAAAATGTATTACAAAAAAGTTAATTAATTTCAGGTATTTTCATTACCTCAAGGTAATGTACTGGGTCCTATTTTTTTTTCAATTTTTTTATATTTTTAGTAAATCTACAATATTTGTCAACTATTAATATTTATTACAAAAAAGTTAATTATTTTCAGGTATTTTCAGGTATATTTAAAAAAAATGGACTTTAAAATTCATTAAAAACAAGTTACCTTTGATTTAAAAAAAAATAAACATTTGCGTGACTTAATTTAATGGACGATAATAAAGTGACTAGATGTAATCATAAACAGTAAAAAAAAGTGCATTATTAATAATTTACAAAAAAAAAGAAAAAACGTTTCATTTTATGAAAACTTACATAATTCAAGCACGTGCGATGAAATATTACCTTGTTTTCCTTCTTTTTCATTTCCAAAACATACATTTCTATACTTAACAATTATTAATTTTCCTTCGTTAGTTTTTTTTTGTTTCATTTTGATTGCATTTTCTATTATTTAACGTTGATTTCTCTCAATTTTCTCTCCACCGTTATCGCTTTTTATACTTATTATATGGCCTATTGTTTCGTAAAACGTTCCGTGTCCGAGTAATTCCGAGATTCAGTGGAAAATGGGCGTTCGCAACGCCAATTCATTAAACGATTTTACAATTTCACGTAACGAAAACGCACACGCAATTAAACAATATCAGTCGTTTAAAATCTTTATAAAATCACGTAAAACTCGAATCGATTCCTTTTCAAAAATAGTTGAAGTAATTAAGTCAATTTTGTTTTATTTACAAGAATCTTATAATTAAGAAACAAATACACAAATTAATGTTAACAGTCAATAATCTTGTAATCTTAATTAAATAACGTTTAATAAAGTAAATTAAAAAATCTGAAGAAATTATTATATGCAACCAAACTTACACAAATCTGAAAACTTTATAATAAATTTAGACATTTTCATGTTAAAATTCAACAAAATTTGAGAACATTAATACTAAAATTATTGAATTAATTAATATTGTAGATTAAATAATATCGTTTTATGAAGATTTCAATTAATTTGAAGTTTAGATTTGTAATTTACAACTGACAGGTGACGTTTAAACAATGTGTATAAATAGGGAATGTTTTTGGGATCAGGGCTGCAAACTCATGTTAACTTGATTAGAGATGGAAATAGTTATAAAACAAAGGAAATAAAATAAAACAAAAAACGTTGTTTTAGGGTCAAAACACACAAAATTTGGATTTTTTTAATGGAAACATAAGATAAAATAAAAAGCTGTGTAAATTTCGTAATAAAATTTATTTCTTTTTGAAAGAATCGTCTTTTCTCTGTTAAATATAATTTGCTTTCAGTATCAACTTTAATTTTTTTCATCTTCTTCTTCATTTGTTTTTTTTTTTTTTTAAATCCATAAATCCATAAATCCATATAAACTTACGTGCTAGAAATTGTTTTTCAAACAAATAATACATAAATAAATAAATAAACATGAGGAAACGTTTTTCCTGTACGAACGCACGTATCACCGCAACTTTTCCACACCTCATAATCAATCGATTTCCATTCACGCCGTCAATCATAATCGAATAATTGTGACTAAGCTTAAAACGTACACACAATTATCATATAAATCGATCAGAAAGGAAAATTTTTAAACAAACGCACGTCGATTCTCGTAGAAAATATAAAAATATCTTCAAAATTTAGCACATCCTGAAATTCCGTTAGAAAAGTTTAGATTTTGTTCTTTATAAACAATCGAATAATAATATTTTCTTAACTTTCACTTTTGTTTTTTTTTTCATAATTTAAATCTCTTCCTGAAAATCCAATTGAAATGATTGCAAAAGTTCTATTTTTCATCTCACTAATAAATTCTGATGAAAAGCAAAGATGAAAAAAGCGAACTTTTGCGTGGAATTAATTTTATCCTTATTTCTTTTTGTTTCATCCAATTATGATTTACTTAATGATTAATTAATTAAGTTAATATTTCACGTTAAATAGTCCCTATACAGTGGAGCAAATTCATTACCAACATGAGCACACAAAAAAAAATTACAGTGATTTTTTTTTCTCTTCAAATTGATTGGTACTCTTGAAATTAATTTAAGTAAAATGTATCAAAATATTATTGTTTTTTTTTTTTGATTAATTTCATTTTGATTTCGTTTATAGATTGATCAAAAATTCCAATTTTAAGGGTTGATTTTCCACTGTGTTATATATATATGTATTAAATAGTATTAGTGCTAGATCGTGAAACAAGATAAAATACGCTTTGTCTTAATTATTCTTAGTTATTGGCTTCGGGTGTCAACAGAGGGCGACGCTGACGATGATGATCATTGCAGCTGCGATCGTCGCTAAGGGATGGCAGCTCTTGGAGGCGGAGGATGATCGCACCAGAGGTCTTCCCTTCTGCGAGGTGAACCACTGGTGCAGATCGCTCAATTCGCCGAAACCGTGCTGGTTCTTGGTTTGGACTAGACACTCGTACACGGAATCCGCTTGCAAGTTCACCAGGTGGTAACTCTGTCTTCGCTCTCCGGTGACGGCGTTGAAGATCTGATGGGGTCGCACCAGGAGGTCGTGCCATTGACCCGGATGATGGTACGAGGCGTTGATCTGAAATTAAACAAATTCGTTAATCAAAATTGCAATTTTGTTGTTGTGATTATCTAACCTGCATCATTCTGTAGAGGATGCGCACTTCCAGGATGGGGAAGACGCTCTGGACGGTCCAGGTCAGGTCGTAATCGTGCGGGTTCGAGTATTGGGCGCTCGTGATGCTCGGTGGACCCGGTTTTCCTGACAGTTCGATGTACTTCTTCTCCTTTCCGATGGAGTTCACCACTGAACAACTGTAGTTGCCGAAGTCGGAGAGCTGCAGATTGCGGATCATCAGAGAATGGGTCAGACCTTGATGGCTCATCAGTCTTCTATCAGTTGGTTGAAGCAGGAACGAGTTTTGATACCAAAGTACCTAAAAAACAAAGACACTTTCAAATTAATCACTTGGCAAGTATCAAATCTATAGTAAACATTAAAAATTTGAAGGTTGACAAAATTTCTTGTCAACTTCAATTTGTTCTTGCTTACTGCTCACTTCATGCAATTCGTCAGTACTTGACGCGTTACTTGGCAAGTAAAATGTTTTACTGAATTGTTCAATTAAAATCATTATAACGAAATGTCCATGTCAATAAAGTAATTCTAGTCTGAAATTGCGTAATTTGCTACTATCAATATAGCGACTTCGTAATGTTGATTCAATTATGAGTTACGTATCACTACTTGTCAAATAGTCCAATTGTTTCATAACTTACTCATAATAGTAAATAATCAAATTAGTTTACTTGTCAAACTTCAAAATAATAATTGGACTGCTTCAATTTGTTCCTTGCTTACTGCTCACCAGATTCGAGACTACGTACTGAGTAATCTGAAGTTAAATAAAACGAGTTACGTCAACACTTGAAATATCAATTCAAATTATCATTATGTATAATCAATTGACTTGTCAAAAATAATTCCTAATTTGTTCCTTGCTTACTGCTCACTTCATGCAATTTGTCAGTACTTGACGCGTTACTTGGCAAGTAAAATGTTTGACTGAATTGTTCCAATTTTAAAGAATGCAGAAGTTACGTATCAACTACTTGTCAAATAGTCCAATTGTTTTATAACTTACTCATCTCATAATGTAAATAATAACATTAGTTTACTTGTAAAAAAAAATAATTGGACTGCTTCAATTTGTCCTTGCT